GTTTTCCTTGTTTTCCTTGTTTTCCTTGTTTTCCTTGTTTTTCCTTGTTTTCCTTGTTTTTCCTTGTTTTTCCTTGTTTTTCCTTGTTTTTCCTTGTTTTCCTTGTTTTTCCTTGTTTTTCCTTGTTTTTCCTTGTTTTTCCTTGTTTTTCCTTGTTTTTCCTTGTTTCCTTTTTGTATCTTTTTTGTTCCTTTTTTATTTCCTTTTTTATTTGTTCTTTTTTGTTTGTTCTTTCTTGTTTTTTTTCTTGTTTTTTTTCTTGTTTCTTTTCTTGTTTCTTTTCTTGTTTCTTTTCTTGTTTCTTTTCTTGTTTCCTTTTTGTTTTGCTTTGCTTTTCCGCCCTCCGCGTTTTTTATTTTTGCGTCTTCTTTTTGCGTCTTCTTTTTGCGTCTTCTTTTTGCGTCTTCTTTTGCGTCCGTCTTCTTGCATCTTTCCTCCTTGTTCTGCCTTTTCTGCTTTCGTTGCAGTCGCATAGCGCTGTGCTCGCGTTTGCCTTTTTCGGTTTCTATTCTTCGCCCATCCCTTCCTGCCCTCGTTCTAATCCAAATTGGGATTTGTGTTGGGAGCTTCACATTTTTTCTGTAGCGAGCATCAATTTATCTTGTTTTACTCTGCAAGGTAACAAAAAGTGACTAATACCAGACATTGATAAGGCAATTCTCACGTATCAACAGACACATACGACCATACCCACTGGAATACACGGGATCCCGTCCGCTCTCCCTAGTCAAACCAGTGAGGGCCAAACTAGTACCGACGTGGGTGACCACTGGGGAATCCTCAGTGTTGTATGTTTTGTCTTTTTTGCTCCTCCGACCGTTACTCAGATTTGCTCCCACTCACCGCCAAGTTTGCCTCGTCCGTTCGGGATAATACATCCTTCAACGGCTGCAGCGCTCGTTTGTCTCCGGGCCATCACTGGCGCACACACATCATCGGCCTTCATGTGGCGGCACTGGTTGATGTGGTGGTGCCTGTTGCTGCTGTTGCTGCTGCTGCTGCTGCTGTTGCTGCTGCTGCTGCCAATACAACATGTTTTGCTCCGGGGTGCCGTACTGCTGCGGGTATCCGGGGACGCTGAACTGGGGCTGCTGCGGGGCGCCATATTGGCCAGCACCGTAACCGCCGTACTGCCACGGGGTGGAAGGTTGCTGCGGCGGCATGATGATCTGCTGTCCCTGGTACTGTGGAGGCTGACGTGGCGGCGCGAGGTTCTGCTGTCCCTGGTACTGATGAGGCTGATGCGGCGGCGCTTCCGGCGTGGGCGCTGGAGAAGTTGGACGAACAGAAGCAGTGCCGGCCTGGGGGGAGGCCAATGGAGGGTGACCCGGTAGAGGAGCCGGCGCCGAGTGGGAGAAGCTAGCGGCCGGCGTCATCGGCAAGGTGGTTGGCGGTTGGGCCAGGGAGCTGCCAACGGGGCCACGAGGGGTGGCAGCGGGAACTGCAGAGCCGGCGGCCACCGCGCTGTCGGTGTGCTGGATGCGGTCTTTGGCCGCGGCGTAAACCATGACATCAATCTCGCGCGCTCGCAGCTTCATGCCCTTTGCCCACCTCTCGGCGTCCTTGCCCCTGATTTTGGTAAGGTACTGCATGAATTCGAGGTACGCCTTGGAAACATCCTCAATGTCGCCCGCCGTCAAATGCACGACGGCGCTGGGGTCCGGGACCTGCAGGGGGTTGTCCTGTGCGCGGAACTCAGCAAGCGCCAGCGCCGTCTGGCACGCGTTGCGGATCTGGCGTCCGTTCCAGCGCTCTTCCGGGTTTTTATCAAAGTAAGCCAGGGCGTGGTCGATAATCTTATCCTTTTCAATTTCGATCATGCGCTCAGCCAGCCTGAAACGATCGTCGATCATTTTAAGGTTAAGGTCAAAAATGGCCCTAGTGCTTTTGTCGTCAAGCTGCGGGTAATAGAGGCTGATGTGGATGCGGGACGCGAAGGCCTCGTCGAAATCGCCGACGCGGTTGGTCGTTAGGAATAGGATGCCGGCGTAATACTCAAGCACGCGCAGGAAGACTGTGTGAGCCGTTGCGTCAGTGCTAGTAGCCTATTGAGGCGCGTGTAGGGGGAGAAAAGGGATGGGGAAGCTAGGCGACAGACCCGAGACGAGTCCGTTCCGTTTGAAGTCCTCCTTCGACCGTGCGGCCATAAAGACGTCGGCTTCGTCGAGCAGCAGGATGCATCCCCATCGGTTTGCCAGCGAGAAGTGCGATTCCAGGGCCTTCTCGACTTCGGGCGCAGATGTTCCCAGATCGCCTAGGGGAGTCGAGCTGCCTGTTAGCACCAGAACCCGGAGATCAGGGAAAGGTGGTCCCTCAAAACATACCACATGTGATCTGGAACAGCGGCTTGTTGAACTTCTCGGCGATCCCCTCTGCAAAAAAGAGCATCATTTTCAGCAAGGGGAAACCGGAATGACGGAGGAATAGGGGCAAATACAGACCTGCCGTCGTCGTTTTACCTACGCCGGGCGCACCGTGGAGGAGGATGATCAATCCTTTTCCTGGCGAGAGCGAGGGTGTATTAGCGTTTCCGTTTTCCCGTCTACACGGTTCATCTGTATGCATACCCTTGCCTCGGACTACGTCAACCTTGCTTGCGGGGTTCTTGTCCCGGAAATGCTGGGTGACGAGCGAGGTAACCATTTTGTGATGCCCGTCTGGGAGAACAAGCTGGTCGAAGGCGGTGTGTTCCAGCAGCTTAGGCTGCTTGTCTGGCGGAGCCACGGCCACGTACGCGTCGCCAGTCCCTGGCGGTCCGCTGCCACCGCCATCGCCCTTCGCCCTGCGCTGGTGTGCCTCCTCGGTCGGCTCGAGATGGTCGAGGCTGAGCTGCGCTGAAGAAAGCAAGGGTGATCGCGTCAGTAGAAGCTGATAAGGGAGGAAGGGAGGAATCGCTTTTAGCACTAACCCCATTTGCGGGTCCGAAGAACGAAGCCAAACACGCGGTAAGACATGATAAGAAGTTCATCCTCAGATGGCAGGTTTCCATGGGCCTTGACTTCGGCAAGCGGGCGCGGGTAGGTGGCTAGGGACGGCTCCTGCTGGTCGATCTCGGTCTTGAGGAAGTTCATGTAGGCCTCGTTCCGTTTCTTATCGAATTTAACGTCGTGGTAAATCAGAGTATCCATGCGGGAACAGCAGGCTGCGTCGCAGAACTCGTCTGCGTCAAAGTCCTCGTCGAGCGACTGCCCTATGAGGTTATCGAGGTACGGTCTCCAGCTTTGGCTAGGGTCCGGCTCACCCCCCTGCGATTTGTTTTCGTCACCGTCCTCCTCCCCGGTAGTAACCTTAGAGCCCGTTTCCTTTGTCTTAGCGGCGTGCGAAAAGGCCTCCTCGAAGTCAACCACAACGTCGTTGTCGATTTCGTCCCGCGTGTCGAGCGTGAGGCCGCTGTAATGCATGTGCTTTACGCCAGTAACTTGCAGGAACACCTCGCCCCGGGCGATGAGCTTGTCTCGCAAGGTTGACGGCTCTTTGAGACTCCCTACCGCGGAGGCGGCGGCGTCACGACCGTCTCCGCCCGCCGGCTTCCTCTCCTCGGCGAAGCGAAGTGGGTAGACTTCGAGAGACGTTACCGCCTTTTCGCCGGTAAACCGGGCGATCCTGACCTTGCGGAGCACGGGGCCCAGCTCCTTGCCATCAAAGTCGATATACGCGCACTTAAGGATTACGGGCGTATCCGCCCGCGCCTTCGCTGCCCTATTCCAGCTCCTACCGTAAGGCGAAAAGACTTTGTGGGGCGCGCCCGAAATGCTGATAACGCGGTAGACCTGCCGCCGGCTCCGTTCGATAACCTCATCACCCTGCTTGAACAGGTGCCAGACGTCGGCGAAGGTCACGGTCTGACAGTTGCTGCTGGAGAGGAAGTCGGTCTTAGCCCGGAGGCGCTCGTCCATAAACCGCACCAGGCACTGTAGGTGCTCGTAGGCGGCCCTGGAGCACGTCAGCTCGTCCGGCTCGTCTGGCTCGTCTGGCTCGTCCGGCTCGTCCTCATCCTCTGAAGCCTCGTCGTTTTCTCCCGCACGTTTCACTTCCGGCGCGGCCTTGGCCATGACTTCCTCACGCTCGCCGCCCCAACCCGCGGTCTCTGTCCCGGCGCGGGCGCCGCCACCTGGGGTCGGCTCTTTGGATGCCACAACCGCAACTGACGAGACTTGGGAATCCTCCTCCTTGATCTCCGCATTCCCGAACCTCTTTTCTAGGTCCCGGAGGATTTGCCTGATGGGTCCGTCGTAGAAGGCTAGAAACTTGTACGGCCTCAACATAACGACGGGTTCGGTGATTGAAGCTTCATCTATACTCTCCATGATCCGAATGATGTACTTGGAGTTGATCCGGATACGCTCGGGAAGCGGAGCCTGGCCCGTGACGGACGGCGGCTTGGCGTTGGCAGGCTTGCGTGGCTTGGGTTTGTCCTCAGCAGCCCTCAGGGAGGCCGCCCCCAACCCGTTAGGAGAGCTGTAAAACGTGTTGATGGGCGCCTGCCAGGTGACGACGGGTTCGCCCTTTAGCACGTCGATGGCGAAAATGGGCACCTGGGGGTCGCTGTAGGGACCAAGCAAGAATGTCGGCCAGTCGACCTCGTTGATATCGGGCACCTGCGGGGGCCGCCCCGCCTTGGCATCCAAGCCGTCCGCGCTCTCTTTCGGGGGCTTTCCAGCAGTGGCGTCTTTGCGCTGGCGCCGGCGCTGCTTCATAAGCAGCTCCTCGCGTTCAGCAGCCCACTTCTGTTCCATATCCCGCAACCGCACCCAGTCGCTGTTTCTCTCCAGAGCTCTTCCCTGCTCCTCTCGAAGCATATGTAGCTGTTTTTCGAGCCCCTTGATGGCATGGGCTACATACCTAGCGCCTGGCGGCACAGAATTATCCATGCCACGAAACTCACTGAACTCATTGTTCTCCAACATAGAAGATATCCCACTAGCCGCGTACGGGTCATGGATCTCCTGGGTGGCCAAAAACATGGGCAGAGTAATGTCAGGGAGTAGGGATACAGCCGGCCCTTTCTCGTGCTTCTCGCGCTCCACCTGCTGCTCGAGCTCGGCCAGTCTGGCCTGCAGATGCTGAAGCTGCGTCTCCAGGAGCGTCGGCTTGACGTCCGGCCTCCTGGGCGTGTCGACGCCATGGCCGCTGTCTCCTTGTCCGGCGACGACGGCATCCTTCGAACCAACGCCAATGCTGGGTGTGTCCGCCGGAGTGGCCGGCGAGGAGTTGCGGCTCTCCCTGAAAGGCGTCACAGCCGCGGAATCTCCGCCCGAAGACGACATTTTTGTGGGGGGTGTTCAGGAGGATTGTCGAGCGAAGCTTTAGAAACACGACCAAGGCCGGATCCCCGCATCAAGGCTGGGATGTCCCCAACGACTGGAATTGATTTACGGGGTATTGTATGATGATGATGATGATGATGATGATGATGATGATGATGGCGGGGACAGCTTCTTCCTCTTAGGTCGCCAACATTAGATTCTGGGTCTATTCCCCTCCCTCGCCCCGGGCGGTTTCGCCTGCACGAAGCCAAACTGTGTGTTTTTATGCAGCCTGCCCCACCCTCGGCCGCAATTTCGGCCAGGGAATCAGGTCCTTGCTATTCTAGGCCTTGTGCATGCAGTGAGTCGCTTTATTGTGTGCCACCGTCGGGTTGATACGTCCCCTGGAGAGGGTGGCAGCTTAACGCTGAGTGGTGGGCTGCCCTCTAGCGCACTTGGGCATTCATCAGATAACGTTGGCTGGATGACTGATTGGCGCGGGTAATCCGCTGCTGCCTGGCCAAGGCTCCTGTCGGCTTTTCAGCTCGACAAGCACCAGAACGAACTGGGCACGGTCGGCAATCACTCTGCAAGCGAATGCCCGAAACCTGCCCGTTAATGGAGGCGGCCGAAACCCCCCTTTCTCCCCGTCCGGCAGCCTCCTCCAAGTGCACCGGCATCATCTTCCACGTTTTGTGATCCAGCTGCATTTCTGCGTGAGACTGCAAAACAGTTTGGGCCAGCTTGTGAACGAAGCAATCTAATGGAGGGCAGCCCGCCACCGCCTCCGGGCCCGGGCCTGCTCGAGCGTACCCTCTCGGCGGATTTCTTCAAGAATTATCTTGCTCAAAGTCACCCTGCCTTTGCAAGTCTCCCAGATCGATACGACCCGGCCATGAGCGCCATGACCCCACAGCATCTGAAGGCACCAACCGGAAGCCACGGTGGTGACCGCTGGACAGAGGGGTCCGCCGGCGCGACGCCACCGCGGTCGTCTGACGGAGTCGCCCCGAGATTGACCCCCCGGAAGCTCGTCCCCGCCGTCCGCGCGATGGAGTTTTGGGCCCGGATCCTGGATGAGTCAGTGAAGAAGTTCAAAGAGGACAACTCGCACGCCCCTGGAAAGCTGGCGGAGAAGCCCGAGTATGGCATCCGGGATGTCGAGAGCTGGGATGCCGTCCTTGATAGGCTTCAGGCGGCCCGCGAGAAGTTCGACGGTAATAAGTCCGAGTTCCTCGCAAACGTCAAGCACGCGTACCGCTGGCTCTTTGACTGTAGCGACGCCATCAATAAGGGGATGGAATACATCCCGGACTCGGACTACGTGACCCCGGTCAAGGCTGGACTAACAGTGCTCATCGAGGTCGGTTTTCTGCTCATGTGGCTTCGAGCCATCATCAGTCCCTGGACTAACCTCGCCGGCCGACTAGGCTGCCAAAACGACCTCAGAAGTCCGGGCAAAGGTCACTCACAGCTTTGAGGAAGGCGACCTGCGGGAGAAGTTTGGCAAAATTGAAATCTTTTTGGCCACGTTCCCCGGCGACGAAAACATCCGACTTGCGTGTATCGACATGGTCGCATGCACGTTAAAAGCGATAGAACTTGCCATTGCATATTACGTATCTCGGGCCCGTAAGCAGCTTATTGTGCCAGGCTTAATTCCGTTTCACTATATCACCTCCCCCTCCTACTCGTACTATACAGCCACTGACTTTTGCGCAGTTGCTAGACTCCGTAAAGCCATGCCTGTGATTGGCGACGGCAGGAGCTTCCAGGAGAATCTCATCACGGCCATCGACCAAATCCGGGTCAAGTGCGACAAGATTGTTGAAAAGGCCCTGGAATCGCACATTGCCGGGACTAAGAAGGCCATGGAGTTGGCTCTTGAGGGTGAGCCATAGGAACCGCTTGCAAATCCGAGAATACTGCTATGTTCCTCTTCTCATCATCGTTATTTCCCGCGACTAGGAATCGACAACCTCGCCGAGCTCTTGGCCCCCATGGGCACGAAGTTGGAAGCGATAGATGAGAAGTTGGGGGCGATGGATGAGAAGAACGACCGCGTCATAGAGCAGACTGGGCAATTGTTAGTGAACTCGGAAAAGTCTACTAAACGCATTGAGGAGCTCGCGGAATTGATAAAATTCCACGTGGTCGACATGTTTAACCAGGGCGCGCAAAAGAAAAATCGTAAGTCGGCTTTCCAGGTAGAGAGGATACGCCGTTCTGGTTCACGCTTGTGATACGGATTGTTAATCGCTGACGCCGCGGTGTTAAGTGGAAATGGACGCCAAGGAAGAAGAGAACAAGAAAGCCATAAAGGCTCTCGAGCGGAAATGCGAATTGATCGAGATTGAGATCCACCTCACGAAGGAGGAGAACGAGAGACTCAGGGCTAGCCAAACCATCGTCTCATCCATAACACCGCCGTTACCGCAACAGCAGCTGGCCTGGTACCCGCCCGCGCAGGCCCCGTGGCAAACGCAGCCTGCTCCTCAAGCCTGGTCCCAACCCCAGCCCCAGTACCCCTACCAGCAGCAGGCACGGTACCCGCCGTGGGCGCCTTTTGAGGGGATGACTTATCATCCGCTGCTGTCGCCACCACAGGGATATGCCTATCCTCCTCCGCCTCCGCCCGAGCCACCGCTGCACCTGAGCACCCTCCTCACGATCCTCGGCGCCTCGAGCCCCGACGCGAGCGACATTGCGTCCATTTTAGAGTCAGCAGAGTCCATCGGGCAGAGGTACCGCAGCCGCGCCAAAAGGATCATCACAGCCGATGAGTTCCGGTCCTGGGCCACGTCGCCGGCCTCGTGCGCGTTGCTAATACAGGGCGACATGCGATATGAAACGACGCAGGCCGGGGCCGCGCTGTCCTTTGTGTGCGCCTCCTTGGTTCAAAGCTTGCGCAACCAACCGAGCCTTTTCGTCCCCGTCGTCTTTTTCTGCCGCCAGCATCTCGAGAGCGACGACGCCTTTTTCGGGCCGACCGCCATGGTCCGGGCACTCATCGCTCAACTTCTTCTTCTTCAGCAGCAGCAGCAGGGCCAAAATTTTCTCATCGATGCCATGAAAAACGCGCCTTTCACGCAACGCGACCTCGAGCTTGCCATAGCCGATCCGGCGTTGCAAGCACTGCGCTACGGTAACATTGATGCGCTTTGCCGGCTCCTCGAGTGGCTTGCGCGGCACGCGCTGCCGCAGCGCAAAACGCTGGTTTGCGTCCTTGACGGCGTCGAAGTCTATGAGACGTCGAGGCACGAGGGCGACCTTGGCCGGGTGGTTCAATGCCTACTCGGCCTCGCGAGGGACACGAGCCTCGGGACCTCAGTCAAAGTCCTGGCCACGAGTCCGGAGGGGACCGTGAGCCTGGACGAGAATTTTGACGATGTCGTTGAGCTTCAGGCGCTTGAGTCCAGAGGTGATGAGGACAGTATCGCCGAGATTGAGGATGAGCTGCAATGACGACGCAGAATTCTGCAGTCCAAACGGGGACTGGAATGTGACGAGGGTTGCTGTAAATATTGGTCGGTCATTGGCTGGAATTCGAAAGCGATGACTTATGTCACTGCAGGGGCTCGGGGACGTCAGATACGTCCGTCAAACGGGTAGCTCGAGTGAGGGAGAAAAGGCGTCAATTTTTGGACGCAAAAGCGTCCATTTGAGGAAGCCCCCTCTCCCCTAGTCAAGTCATATATGAGGGTTGGATTGGAACTCACGGAGCCATTTGGCTTCCGGGACAGTGCCCTATATTCCCCCTGTGCTGCCCACTGACGTAGCGCTGTGTTTTGGCTCGGGGGTCGTTTTTAGCGGTGCCGGCCGGCGAGTGCCCTGAAAAGTCCAACGCGCCCGTCGTCACGCCGTTCGTCATCTCCACCCGCATGCAAGCGCGCACGCACACAAGTCGTTCGGCAACCGATTCCTGATCCGACCTGGCTTGGGATCAGAGCCAGAGATGCGGACAATTCGGAGCGCGTCAAAGCTACTATCGCTGGCGGCCCTAGGCTCGCAGTCACGTCAATCGCTGTCGCGCCAGGCTGGCTCGCTTGGTCGCGTGGCCCTTTTCTGTCCAAGCCCGCAGACGACGTCCCTCGCCACCTGCCAGGGCCGCGCGATGTCGTCGTCGGCGCCACAGCACGCGGTGCCGTCACACGGCCGGCGGCGCGATGCCCACGAAAAGCTCGAAGCCTTGCTAGGCTCGAGCGGCGACAAGGACGCCAAATGGGGCTGGGTCGTGTTCCGAACCGGCTACCGCCACATGCTGCTCGACAGCAGCTGGAAGACGCTCGAGACGCTCACGCCCGAGGGCCTCCGGGGCGAGGCGGAGGGGTCGTACGCGCCCGGCGTCGCGCAGCGGCTGGAGTGGGTCACCTTCTTCGACGAGTCCCTCATCGACGCGCCGGCCGAGGAGCTCGAGCGGCGGTTCAGGGCGTGGGTGCGCTCGCGGCGCCCGCGCGACGACGGTGGCGTCCCGGGCTCCTCCGTCCCGCTGTACCGCTACTACCTCCACTCCGACGCGGACTCCCTAGATAGCATCAGCGCGCAGGCCCAGAACCAAGCCACGCCCGACTGGATTTGGCTGGTCCGCGCCTGGGCCGAAAACGGCGAGGACCGCATGCGGATCCCCGTCGGCGAGATCGGGCCCGCCCTCTACGCCAAGCTGGCCAGCGACGAGGCCTGGACTGCGCTCTACCATTCGGGCAAATACGACGAGCAGCTGACGGACTTAAACCTGGACGGGTACGGCATAGATCCGGATGGGAGCTACATTTGGCCCAACAAATGGGTCGACGGGAAGATAGTCCCCCCGGAAGAGCAAAAGCCCTAGTGTGGACGCCCAAGTCGTACGATTGACTGTTCTGGCGATGGTTAGATAGGTCCATAATAGGGCGGTCGCTGGTAAGGACCAGGTAAGCCATCTCTCGCTAGCAGTAGCACTCGGCCATCCTCTCTCTACACGAGATCTCGAACATAGGTGGCATTCCAGCGGCGCGGTTTTGCAGCTGAGCAGTCCATGGTCGCTTGGCCGGCATGGCGACGCGGTCTCGGTCACTTGCAGCAGCCGAGACCGCTCGCTCGTCTGCCGCTAACCTTCCCCAGTCTGGCAACCTTCCTTGCCGCCCCGAGCAGCCGCCGCACGTATTGGACGCCTGCTGTGCCTGCCTTCCCGCAGCTGCTGGGCGCGCCCAGGATCTCCCCTGAAAAGAAGATCAGCCAGCTGCTGAACTTGATGGGCATCACAAAAGCCAAGTGGGGCTGGGCCGTCTACCGCGTCGGCCGCCGCCTTCCGGAAGACGACAGCAGGTGGGTGACCACTGGGGAATCCTCGGTGTTGTATATTTTGTTTTTGCGGTTCATTGAGCGAGATGTTTTTTTTTTCTCCATCGAGGGGTGATGCGGGTAAAGAGCTAGAGCGTTGCTTTATCGTCGTGTTTTTTTTTAAAAAAAAATCATTAGTGTTGGTTAGAGCTTTCCCGATTTGAGGTTATATTACGGTATTTGCAACACCACTAACATGACCACGTTTCCCATTATCAAGATGACGCTTACAATTATTGCTTAAAGCAGCTCATTTGGTCACTTGCACGATCAATTTGCTAGATATCCATTCGTCCCAAATCTGCATTTTCTCCATCTTTGCCTCTTCCTACCTACACATGTATTGTTGGGTGGGTGACAATTGCAGCATGCATATCTGGCAGACAGCCTTGTGGTCGAACTAGCCTAGGCCTAGGACAGCAGGACGCCAAGGTGCAAACCATGGGTGCGTTGCGTTGCTGGGGTTGGAATAGATCAAAGCACACAGAGAGACGGACCAAACGCCCGGACTGCTATTGTTGACAAGACTGAGTGGCATTTTGACAGCGCTCTCCAACACGCACGTCCCCTCCCGTCGTTTGCGCGAGCCATCAATGTTGTAGTTGCGACCATCGCACGGGCCGTATTCCTCGCTTCTGTGAGAAGGCTGCCAGGGGCCGTCGACGTAGGCGGACCCTTTAAAGCTTAACCGTGACGGGGCGACCCCCC